AAGTAACGATTCTGTGGCCCTAACTAACGTTTCTGTGTCCCTAAGTAACGTTTCTCTGTCCCTAACTCTCTCCCTGAATACAGCCAGGTCTGCCTCTGTTGAATGACTGGAGGCAAATGGAGAATTCTAAAATGGCCGCCATTTATAGCTCGACCATTACACTGTGCTGGCTGGCTGGCTGCTGATTGGCTAATGCGATCACATGTCATGAATGAATGCATTATGGGTCAGCGCGCCTTGTCTGCGCGCCTTCCCAGACATCCCCGCTCCGTCGCCGCACATGTCGCCGCCATTTTAGGAAAAAATCGAAATTTTCCTAATATTCGAAACGAATTCCACTTCGCCTACTTCGATTCGCTCATCTCTAATCATGACAACAGTGAGGAATCATCCCAGAACTACATGTGAGGATCTTGTCAATGATCTCCAGGCAGCTGGGACCACAGTCACCAAGAAAACAATTGGTAACACATTACGCCGACAAGGATTGAAATCCTGCAGTGCCTGCAAGGTCCCTTATGCTCAAAGCACATGTCCAGGCCCATTTAAAGTTTGCCACTGAACATCTGAGTGATGCAGGGGATGGCTGAATGAAAGTGTTGTGGTCAGATGAGATCAAAATTGAACTCTTTGGCATCATATCAACTAGCCGTGTTTGTAGGAGGAGGAATGCTGCCTATGACCCCAAGAACACCATCCAAACTGTCAAACATGGTGGTGGAAACATTCTGCTTTAGGGTGTTTTTCCGCTAAGGGGACAGGATAACTTCACCGCATCAAAGGGTCGATGGACGGGGCAATGTACCCTCAAATCTTGGGTGAGAATCTTCTTCCCTCAGCCAGGGCATTGAAAATTGGTCATGGATGGGTGTTCCAGCATAACAATAACTCAAAACACATGGCCAAGGCAACAAAGGAGTGTCAAGGTCTTACCTTTTCCCAGAGGTTATGATGCTCTATGTGCCTGCATCCATCTTGGGTTTATGCAAAGCATGGTGGGAGCCATTTTATGCTTTCAGGCCTCTGCGGTCCATCCCCCAGAGGGGTGTGGGAGACGATCACATTTAAGCCTGTTGTCTGCACTTGCTCTTTGCATTTGTGTCCTGTATGATAGTATTGTTGCAAGCTCTTGTTCTACTCTCGTGGCTCTCCTGTAAACTGACTCAGCTTTGTCTAAGACTATTCTCAGCCTTATCCCTTTATCTGACCCCCCGTTGCTGAACCCGGCTTGTGACCTGTGTATTTTTGTCTACTGTTCTGTACTGTCTGTCCCACTGTTATCGACCCGGCCTGTCCGACTACGCTATCGTTCTTATCTGGTTCCTATCAGCTATACGCCATTGGCGGCGGCCATTACCACAGCTGGGGTTACTCGGGGGGCCACGACCTGGTCCCTGACTGTGTCAAGTCCATCCCCACCATCAGGGGCCCTGGTGAAGGGCAGCCTGGGGCTTAGACTCCGCGCCCTGAGGGACTCCGGTCTGTGGGTGGTGGTTGTCGTCAGTCGGTGCGTAACCCTGCCATTAGGCCTGCCTGTCCATTCCACAGCTTCTGCCCTGACAAGGAGTGGCTCAAGAAGAAGCACATTAAGGTCCTGGAGTGGCCTAGCCAGTCTCCAGACCTTAATCTGATTGAAAATCTGTGGATGGAGCTGAAAGTTTGAGTTTCCAAACGTCAGCCACCAAACCTTAATGACTTGGAGAGGATCTGCCAGGAGGAGTGGGCCAAAATCCCTCTTGAGATGTGTGCAAACCTGGTGGCCAACTACAGGAAATATCTGACCTTTGTGATTGCCAACAAGGGATTATATGCCACCAAGTACTAAGTCATTGTTTTGTGAAGGGGATCCCTCATGAACATGCAAATCAGTGCATAATTTGTTAGACATGCATTTCTTTTGAATTTTGTGTTGCTATTCTGTTTCTCAGTGTTACAACGTACACCTACCATTCGATTTTTAGACTGATCATTTCTTTGTGAGTGGGCAAACATTAAAAATCAGCAGGGGATCAAATACTTATTTCCTTCGCTGTAAATACTTTCACTCCTCCCTGATGTGAGCGGGGATGCTCCATCTTAGAGAAGGTCAGTACATTGTATGGAGATGCCTACTCTCTAAAGGACACTAAAAACATATAAAACCATAATTCCCCTATCGGTGTTACTATGTAGATATTATGCTAATCACTAAAGTCAGCATAAATACACCCGAATAAACATATAAATAATACACAAGGTATAACATCACAGTCATACTGCCATCTAGCAGTATATGTTATACCACTGTGCATTTAATATGTAAGGGATATCTCACTCCTAATCAAGTACAACAATAAAATTACACAGCATAGATAAAATAAACAGGTAAATAATATATATATAAAATAAATGAGGGAAAATATGAGTACTCTGCCTCACTCTATACTAGAACAATTAATAACTTTATCCCATAAATAAATAAAATAAGATAAAGATACCTACTCTATAAAACAAAATGTTAAGAAACTACCCCATCCCCACATACAATCCATGATATAAATGAATCAGGGGGAAGTGTCTATTATTAAGACTAGTAAATTGTCAATGATATAAGACCACTCATCTAACATAAAATATCAGACTAGTGGAGACAATATCCACATAAAGGCAAATGGGCGTTCATATTTTATTCTAGACTACCTAAGATAGGAATAGGTATGTACTAATAAAACAGGGTACTGGATATGCATAAGAAAATAAGATACAATTAACACCATATCTATCTAGCACAGTGCTTCTCAAATAGTGGGGCGCGCCCTGGCTCTGTCAAGGGGGGCGTGGCACGGTGCCGCCGCCGTCGACCCCCCTTTCGACAGAAGGGACGCTAAGTACAGGGTGGGCAGAGGGCTGCTGTCTCTTACCTGGCTCCCACGATGATCCATCCAGGAAGCGCTGCTCCTTCCGTCACTCCGGCCACTCCCTCACTCCTGCCGCTCGGCTCCTCCTCCTCACCGGTGATTGGCCGCTAGAACTGTAGCTCAGGAAAGGTACACAGGCGGCCAATCACGGGCGAGGAGGCGGAGCCGAGCGGACCCGCGAAAAAGTCGAGTGAGGGAAAGCCCTAAGTGTGCAGTGCAGAGGTGCTGCTACAAAAATACTATTTACAGTCGCGCGGGGGGGGGGGGGGGCGCGCAAAATGTTTTCTTCTTCCTAGGGGGGGCATGACAGAAAATAATTGAGAAGCACTGATCTAGCATAAAATCCCCTATAAACGACATAAGAATACATACCCTCCAGCAAGGTTAAAGTTATCACACTACCAGGGAAGATTTAGACCATCTAATATCCGGCTTTCTCATATCGTAAAAAGCAGTACATATGGCACCCTCAATCAACCCCAATTGTCTAAAGGGGGATCTCTACATCATATGCTATATGACTATAACACCTCCTATGTGGGAACTTAACCACCTCCCGCCCACCATATAGTCCAATGACGGGTGAGAAGGTGGTTCTCTCATTCTGATAGGACGTCATATGACGTCCTTCCATTCTTACCGCGCATGCGCGACTCAGGGAATGCGCAGTGCGGCGATCAGCGGTGTGCTGTGTCCCTTGGACACAGCGGATCACCGATCCACGAAAAGAGCTGAAGATGTCGGCTCGGTCATGTGATCAGCTGTGTCTAATCACAGCTGATCACATGTAAACAGGGAAATGCCAGTTATCGGCATTTCTCTCCTCTCGAGCTGGCAGGCTGACAGCTCGAGAGGAGAGCCGGTAATCGGCATTCCGCGGAGGGGACAGGTACACTGATGATCATTGCCCTGATGATCAGTGTAGCCCCAGAAGTGCCACCTGTCAGTGTCCATCAGTGTCAGCTGTCAGTGCTGAACAGTGCCACATCAATGCTACATATCAGTGCCCATCTGAGCTGCCTTTCAGTGTCACCCATCAGTTCCACCTATACGTGCTGCCAATCAGTGCCACCTATCAGTGCCAGTCAGTGCCACCTAACAGTGCCACATATCAGTGCCGCCATATATCAGTGATGCCTGTCAATGCCCATCAGTGTCACCTACCAGTGCCTCCTCATCAGTGCCCATCAGTGCCACCTATCAGTGTCCATCACTACAACCTCATTAGCGCACATCAGTGAAGGAGAAAAATCACTTATTTACAAAATTTTATAACAAAAACTAAGAAAAAAAATTTTTTTTTTTCAAAATTGTCAGTGGTTTTTTTGGTTTGTTTTAAGAAAAAATAAAAAATCCAGAGGTGATTAAATACAACCAAAATAAAGATCTATCTGTCACAAAAAAATGATAAAAATGTCATATGGGTACAGTGTTGCCATGACTGCGCAATTGTCATTCAAAGTGTGACAGCGCTGAGAGCTGGAAATTGGCCTGGGCAGGAAGAGGGTATAAGTGCCCTGTAGGCTAGTGGTTAAGCGAGACTGATCAGTAAGCCCCACATATGGTGGGAATGAGGGATACCTATACCTCAACCTCAAACCTTTCAAGCTAAAATGTTATTATACATCTGAGATAAAACAGTTAAGATCTTGTTGCACGTTAAGGTCCTTTTGGATTCATAGGCCCTGATTCACTATTGGGCATGGGCGCATATTTATGGGCTTAAGCCCAATTTTCATGGGCGTCCGTCATTTTTTACCCTGCAACCTAATTCACTATTGAGCAGAGCCCATAAGCAGATGCCCAATCTAATTCACAAACAGAGACACACGCCCGAAATCAGACTCACAAAACAGACTTGCTAAGAAGCAAGTCTAAAACCATGAAAAATCACTGCAGAGACATGTTCACTTAGAAATTTGCTTTGCCAAATATCAGGACTTCACTTTAAACAATATCTGCTATTTCAAAAAAAAATTAAGAATGTGTTAAAAATCGTTTTTTTCAAGGAAATCGACACAGTAAAAATCTAGAAGCCCGTGCAGTGTCTTTGGCAGATACAACTGAGCATGTGCAGAACACATTTTAGACTTCTGCCATGGGCGTTTGCTTTTTAGCCACTGACTAATAGTGAATCTGATTGTGGATTCCTCTGACAGCCGGTACTCGCTCGCGTCTATTGTGTTTAATAAACAGCACTCGGCATATCTTCATGTAATCTAACTAGATTTCCTTAGTTCTAGTGATTCTATTTTTGTTTCTTATCCTTTATAATTATTTCTGTAATGATTTTACTTATTTCAAAGGTCTAGATAATATTTATTTTGGACAGCTGAATGTAAAAATAAAGGTCCACAATAAAAAAAAAAAAAAAAAAAAAGCAGTGTGGGTCCCCCCTCTCATCCTTACCAAGCCCTTCAGGTCTGGTATGGATATTAAGGGGGAACTCCACGCTGAAATTTAAAAAAAAAAACAGCGTGGGTCCCCCTCAATATCCATACCAGACCCTTATCCGAGCATGCAGCCCGGCAGGTCAGGAAAGGGGGGGGACGAGCGAGCGCCCCCCCCCCCCTCCTGAACCATACCAGGCCACATGCCCTCAACATGGGGGGGTGCTTTGAGGCAGGGGGGGCTCCCCCCCCCAAAGCACCTTGTCCCCATGTTGATGAGGACAAGGGCCTCTTCCCCACAACCCTGGCCGGTGGTTGTGGGGGTCTGCGGGCGGGGGGCTCATCAGAATCTGGAAGCCCCCTTTAACAAGGGGGCCCCCAGATCCCGCCCCCCCCCCTACGTGAAAGAGTCTGCGGTAGATGCTCCCGCAGACTCCTTCACAAAAAAAAAAGTGTGGTGTAAAAAAAAACACAGTACAGGGTCTTTGACAAGTCCTTTATTAAAACAATGTCCCCCGAAGTAGATCCAACGTCAATCATTTCCCATTCTAAAAATTTTTTTTCATTTTTTTCATTTTATTTTATTTTTCACATTCCATATTTTCACTTTTTATTAGGTTTTTGCACTCTTTTAAAAATATTAATTGATTCTTTTTAAATTTATTTATATATTTATATCAATTATGGATTTAAGTATTATGGATTTAGAATATTATTGGTGATACACTTTAGCCATTTATAATTTATTATAGCACTCATAGTTGTATATATTGGAGCGCGGTACAATATTGATATACAATGTTAATCTATGATGTTGGATTTACACTGTCTGGTAAGGTGCATGGTTTGTGAGGTGGAGTAGAGTGTATTCATGGACACTGGTGAAGTTTTTGAAGAGGTGAGGGTAGCACAAGAGTGTACAATTGATTATAAGCACATAACACTATATCTAATTTCTTTGGAGGTGTATCTCTTATGAAAAGCAGGATGGATTAGGAGGTTGAATTCTGGATGAAGTTGAATAAGAAATGTGTTTAAGGCTATGCTCAAGCCAATAGAGGGTAAGCGTAAGGATTGCAGACGTTTTGAAGTGGACACATGCTAGAGTGGTGTTTGAACTAGTTTGCTATAATTTTGTAAGTGCCTTTTTTTTTTTTATTATTATTATATCAGCATATTGTGGATAATGCACTATGTTCGAATTTAAGCTGGACTTTTGGACTTTCAGGGGTGAAAGTATAGTTTTGGTGTTTGGGCTAGAATTAACACTTGTGTATATATCATTTGGCAACACAGGTCTATTTATACATTTGATATGAGTGCGGCATATCTATTATAAAAAGGGCTGAGCAGTAGTAGCAAAGGTCTCTTTTTCTGATGGCCTCCAGCCAGAGGACCTATTTCTTTGTAAGGCATTATCTTTACTCTTTAAGTATAATTATTCTGCAATATTCATTTAAATTATTTTTTCTCAATTTCTTTGCAAAAATATGTTAAGCATTAATATTTAGTGACTGATTCAATATGTAAAACATAGAGACAACTGCCATAGAACTTAAGCTCCATCTCCTTCCAGGCTTCAAGACTATCCCATAAGAAATATCTACAGCACTAGACAAAATATGCTGATGGGTTTGATGTCTCAAGAGTCTTGCATGCAATGCTTAATTTGAAAATATAAGCAGGAGAATGAAGCATCTCCATGATTCAAAGTGAAATGCCATCTGGAGTTTGCATATGCAAGTGAAATTTCTAAAATTGATACAAAGACAAGAACAAGATATTATAGCCATAATACTACTTTGTTTCTTTAAATAGAAACCCCACATACATAGTTAGATTTAAAATATTCACTTTATTTACCTTTGGATTGCTGTACTTTGCTGAACTGACATTTTTGGCTTGCACGATCATTGATCCGTGTTGTTTTTTACATCAAAGTTATTCTCTCTTCCTTATTTATCCTAATAAACACATTATTCTTTCTTAAAGCCACCCCTTATGACTGGTAGGCAAAAGGTTAAGAGGTAGCAGGAAAGGTGAAGGAAGCACAGATACACGGAATTAAATAAGCAGCAGCATGGAGATCTTTGCAAGGCAGATCCTTGAGTAAAGTTTACTCTCCAGCAGGAAGAATAGACAATAGTCGTGATATCACTAAATCACACTCCAAATCTCTTGATCCTCTCTTGGTCCTTTATTTGTGAATTCATAATCAGAATGAAGTTTCTTACTGATTAGTTTCTGTGTGAGGTTGGGTGGTTGCCTGAAAACCAGCATTGGCGTGATTGGAAAATTTTGGAGTATCATCCTCAATTATTATAGGCTGTAAATCTGTGATTATCTTTCTTATCCCTTCTAATGCATGATTGTATGTTGTTACTGTTCTTTTCGGGTTTTCAGGACCATGTTTATGCTTGCAATGATGGTTTTGTCCTTGCAACCTTTCTTATGGAAGTATTCAACGTGTTGTTGTTTTTTTTTAATTTAAATATTTATAAATTTTTCAGATAAACAAGTTATACAAACATACTCATTAAAACCTTAGCATATTATCAAAACATTTATCGTTTCATCCCTTCCCCCCCACCTATATACCACCCATCCCCCCCATCTGATCCCTGACCCCTTCTGCTCTGCATTTTCCTGTTCATTTCTGAAGATCGTAATCCCTATAAAAGAACAAAATATGTTTCCATATTATTCTATGTTAATCCCCCATAACCTCTAAGGCTAGCCTTGACTTTTTGAATTCCTCCCATTTGTTCCATCTTGTATGGTGACTCTTTTCTTCATTCAAATGATAAAGTTCCTAAAATTTACATATTTGATCCACCCAGTCCTTTATTTTCGGCACCTCCTGTCTCCTCCAATACTTGGGTATCAGTCCCTTTGCTGCATTCAAATAGTACAATAAATCAGATTCTTTGTATTTTTTTAACTGAAAGCTTCTTAGTACTATGAAAAAGGCAAATCTCTGGGTCTACTAGAATATCAACCTCTGTAATTTTCTGAGTCAAGCTTACTATTTTCCCCCAATACTCTTGTATTTTAAAACACTCCCACCATATGTGATACATTGTTCCTCTACCTCCACATCCACGCTAACATAAAGGTGATTTATCTCTACTCAATCTGTGTGCCACGCTCAGTGTGATATACCATCTTGCCAAACACTTATAATTCCTTTCTACCTCCTGCATATTTATATTTCCGTGAATTATTCTACACATTTTCCTCTGTTTTTCCGCATCTATTGTTATTCATATTTCTCTTTCCCATTTTTCTATATATGGAGGACTGATATCTGCATTTATTTCAGTGAGAATCTTATATATTTTAGAGATTCCGTGTTTCCCATCTCCCCGTGTACCTAATAAGTGCTCAAAAGGATTCCAATCCTCTCTTATTAAAAAATTCTCGCCATTATTATTGAGTTATAATATCTTTTTAAATCTGGGACTCCCAATCCTCCTTTCTCTTTATTTCTACATAAAATTTCCTGCCTTATTCTCGGTTTTTTATTCCTCCAAATAAATCTTATTAACTTTTTTAATTGATCTAAAGTATACTTCTGGTAGTTTAATTGGTATCATTTGAAATTTATATAATATTTTTGGAACGGCTGTCCACCGGCTGGTGGGCAGAGCCTGATCATGGCGGCTGAGGAGAGCTCGATGTAGGAGCTCTGGGACAAAGCTCGGCTATTCGACCTCCCCAAGCCTCCAGGTTCTTTCCCCTTAGTATGCAGAAGCCCTGCGGAGCAAGACTTACCTTAGGCTGACGATCTCCCTTGGATGGGCGGCGGTGGCCCGTAGGAGGAGTGACCCAGGAGACAGAGAGCGGCTGGAGACCGGCGGCGACAGCGTACCTGGATGCCAGGAGACGAGTGGGGGCGGCGTGACCATGTGATCGGCCGCTGAGCATTGCTGGGAAACCAGGAAGCCGGCCGGCGTTCTGCGGTGAGAGAGCAGCGCT